CAGTATGAAATCTGATTTTTTTGACAAGTGGTCATTCAATAAATATTTGATTGTGTTGACTCAGTGCCCATCTATAAACTTCCAAGCATAAATGGCAGATTTTTGAGGTGCTGCCATTTCTGTATTTGTTGCAGATGGATAGTTATGGTATGGGGAAACTAGCAGGAGTGTAATACCAATGAATTACAAAAACAAGCCAATGGTCAAAATCTACATGCAGTATCCCTAACAACTGTCTCTGAAGCACCTTTGAGCAGCCCAAATGAGTATATGAACAGTTTTAAATTATTTTCTTATTTTTTCATTAAATTAAAACAATGAGGCCTAAGTATAATATACTGGGTTCTAGTATTTTACAATGTTTATAGAATGTTAATAAAAATAATGTCTAAATAAAATGTTTGAACTGTTTGAATATATTTAATCAGATTTAATCAGCTTCTTCTACAATTACAGCTTCCATTCCAAAACAAACTTCACTGAAACAGGAAGAGGAAAAAGGCTAAACCATTACAGGCCTCCCCTCCCCATCGCAGCTATTTAACTGAAACAATCCCATGATATGACATGCAAATATATCCTTCAATCTCTACTTAGTCCAAGTTTGTTTTATATACAACTGTAAGGATGAGGAAGTGTTAGAGACAGATGCACAAAGTCTCTTTTATTGCCACATACAACTACATCAATCACCGGGAACACAGACAAGCCCTAAAGGTTATATACACTCTGAAACAATACATAAGAATTACAAAAGCAGTATAAATTATAACATGACCTTCACAGCAGGGATCTGATATCAACACAGGATGCTTACTATGTGCTGACCAGGGGCCTCTACACACTGCTCTTCTAAAGAGACATCAAGCCCACCCTTTCTACTGATGCCAGCGCCCTATAACATAAACAATGTCTTTTATTATACTCATTTTTTTACTTCCTTCATACTAATAAAACAACTGTCTGGTTTATGTTGTGAACTTGTTTGCCTCCAGAGTCAGCAGGCACTTTCCATTTGCCTGTTCCTCCTGCTGTGCAACTTAAATTCCCTCATGGTGCTGTATTTAAGGATAGAAAGAAATTTGTCCCTCATGTTACTTCCTACACATTTCCAAAGAAAATATATTTCTTCATCAGCAAAGAATACTAAGCAGCAAGTTCTCTTGACTAGGGCTTCATTCTACAATGTATCATTACAAGCTCTGGGTATGTGACTTAAACTGCAGTTGCTTCTGCCATCAAACCCCATTCTAAGCTTAACTTCAATTAGTGTGGTTGTGAAAATGGTGTTTTATTTCACTTTTTCCTGATCTGATCCCAGCAATTAGGAGTGTGTTATGTGTGTGTCTCAGCATGCTTGTATATGTATGTATATGTATTCCTTTCAAATGCTATAAAATTACACTTGTGTTCTTCATGAAAAGAATTAGAGTTGAAGGAACACAAACAGTTGGAAGGCATTTTATTTTAGCAGTGAAAATGGCACCTTCTCCTACGGATTGTCTCCACCTACATTCATTGCCTTTCTCATACATCACAGTAAGTTCTAATCTGATTCCATTCCCATTCATACTCTTTTGTTATATGCATTTTTCTCATCTACAACTTACATACAGGGAAGTAAACTCCATAGAAAGTTCACTTTGGACAAAAAATGAAAAGTATGGTGCACAAGGACTGTGTACAGCTGAATAGGAGTGCTATAGGGACTAAGATATAGAGGGAATAGGACTACATGAGAAAAAAAGCTCTTGAAAATAATTAAAACCACCAATAATCTTAAATCACCTTGATTTCTTAGAAAGGTTGGAAATAGGCTCTTATTATCTCAGAATTAATGGTTATTTCTCCAGAGACTCAAAATATGTAGAAACAAAAACAGATTATTATTGTTTAAGTTGGGAGCTAGATGTTCACACACACAATCACACTGAAAGTTGTTTTGCAGGCCAGGTTAGGTCTGAATTTCAGAAAAGCTGAGGTGGGAAACTGCCATGCATGTTACCATCTTTTACGTAATGGCTCCAAACCACACCAGTTCTCAGCCACTTTTATAATTTTTAATAAAGCCAATCCCAGCTTGAAACTCTTTTGCTATTTTGTCACTTGAGTATCCTCCCCTCATCCAGTTAACATGCCTACCTTCTCTTGTTGAATCTTGTGAAAAAGATTTTGAGACTCTAGAAAGAATACAGAGAAGAGCAACAAAAGTGATTAGGGGACTGGAGGCTAAAACATATAAGAACTGTTGTTTGAATTGGGCATGTCTAGTTTAATGGAAAGATGGACTAGGTGCGACATGATAGCAGTGTTCCAATATCTCAGGAGCTGCCACAGAGAAGAGGGAGTCAAGCTATTCTCCAAAGCACCTGAAGGCAGGACAAGAAGCAACAGATAGAAACTAACTGAGAGAAGCAACCTAGAACTAAGGAGAATTTTCCTGACAGTTACAATTAATCAGAGGAATGACTTGCCTTCAGAAGTTGTGGATGCTGCAACATTGGAAGTTTTTAAGAAAAGATTGGACAACCATTTGTCTGAAATGGTATAGGGTTTCCTGCCTGAGTAAATGGGGTTGTACTAGAAGACATCCAAGGTCCCTTTAAACTCCGATATTCTGTTATTCTCCACAATCTTCATTTTAGTATTTTCCAACCAGCTATATAAGATGAAGTCTTCCAAAACACAATCATCTGCCTGTACGATTTACTCTACACAGGTCTCTTGTATTCCATTTTTCATTTACGTCTATTCATATTTATCCAAATATGTATGCTTGTGTGTGTGTGTGTGTGTGTGTGTGGTTTATATGTAGGCACTAAACATCTGCAAATTAACACTGGTAACTGTATAGTTGTACTGAAACCCCGTTTTGCAACTCCTGAAAATAAAACTAGTGATCCCAAGAATAACCATAATTATTTTGGAATCCTTGCATGCATTTCTATAAACAGATGTAGATACAGCTTTACAGCACCCGTCTCAATCCCCTTTCATTAGACACTTATCTATTATTGTCCTACTGCTGGGATCACAATTCTTGTATGCATTCCTCTCAACTGGCAAATCTGCCACCTGACAAAGCAAGAAATTAATATACCAATGATGATGGTCTGGGGGAGGGGAGAATTTGGGACCACCCTAACCAGTATAATCTGAAGCACATCGGGATTTTCTCAGTTGTTTTGGCTCCTTCCTTCTACACTCCTGTCCAGCTTTCAAGTTAATAATATCCACAGCAAGGGCACTAATGCTGGTTTTTAAAATCATGCCTTACACAACTAGATAAACCAACAGGCATGTTTTCCATGAGCAGCCCCCCAAAATATGTTTGAACTGCAGCAATCAGATAAATAAATAAATAATTTTTAATTTGCCTGAAGAAATAAATCTCAAAGTATTTCATTTCAAACATCTATTTTTGTTATAATCAAGACAAATACATCTTTATATTTGCAATTGCTTAAATTAAAAATACCATAATCACAAGGTTCAATACAATGACAGCACACTTAGTCATATTAGGTTATAAATTAGGACAAAATGAACCATTTTGCTCAGATTAAATATTAAAGATATCAAACAGAATGCAAAGCATGGAACACCCCATACCTTTTCAAGTACTGTAACATTAACAACACAATCTTATATTTGTTTATTAGAAGTCCAACTGGGTTCAGAAAGTGCTTAGGGGATTTTAGCCTACTTTTTTCTGTAAAACATTTAATCCGGCTGAACATATCTTCATAACCTAATTATTTCCTGAATTTCATATTGAACAAAACAGCAGGGATGAACAATATTGAAGTGATATATGGGGAAAACAAATATTACAACTATTTCACAAACACGAACTGCGACCAAAATCCCTATCTGAAAGGAGCATCATCTCCAGGGGTCGCCAACCTTTCAGACCTCAGGGACCAATAAATTCATAATTTTAAATCCCATGGATTACTATGAGTTTTTAAAAAATGATAATTAGTATTTAGTACAATATAAAAATGCAAATAATTTTTCTGCAGACCACCAAAATTTTTCGCGGACCACCAGTAATCCATGGACCACCGGTTGATGGCCACTGTTCTATTCCACTATATCCTCAAAGATACTTAAATTACTCCAGGCTAAACTTCTTAGATGATCTTATGATTTCTGTGCGGTTCCTGATTCCACAGATTCCCAGCGTTTCAGATGCTCCCGCTTCGTCTTACAAAAAAAGGAGGAAGCGAGTAGTTGCTTGTCAGAATCACCCAACCTGCCCGAGGACATTTTGGGGGGGGGGGGCGTTTTGTATCTGGCACGGTCTTTAGAGCTTTTCCGAAACTGATCTAGTCGCTCTTGTCTTAGACTTAGATACTTCCAGCAGTAAGGGTTACTACTAGAAGGAAGCACTCTGCACATCCTCAGAAGATCCTTTCCCGAGAATGAACCAGCTACTGATAATCAAGTCTCCGCCAGGCTGGATCCTGGCCACCGACACGGTAGATCTTGCTTTCGCTTGCAGGGGGAGGATCGTTTCGGAGGGGTTGCAGCGAAAAAAAAGCCGAGGCTTTGCCGGTGCCCTCCGCGACTGGCTTCAGGAAGGCAGGGAGGGTGGAGGGGCGTAAAAGCTGCCGACACCGCCTCCCTCCCTCCCTCCGGATAAAAGCAACAAGCGGTGCAGGCTGGTTGCGGCCCCGCCGTTCTCCACTCCCGCCCGTCCTAATCCGATTTCCGCCGTTCTCCACTCCACCCTTCCAGGCAGCAGCCCCTCCCCCGGCCTTAATCCTCGTCCCGTAGCTCAAAGTAACGTGCTTGCCCCGGTCCGGCCTCTTCCATGGGTTTCCGCGGCGATCATTGGCTCTCTCTGTCTGTCCTGCGCTCGGAGCCAGGAAAGCCCGCAGGGAGGGGCTGGTCTTGAGAGGAGAGCCCTCCGCAGTTTCAGTGCCGCTCCTGGGCGATCGGGTTGCAGCCGCCGCTGGTGGGAACGCAAGTGAGTGGATTAGTGTAAAGGTCGGGCGCCTCCTCCCTTCGAGCCCCGTCGTCTGCTCGTCGTCTCTGCCCTCCTCCTGCCTTTTCTTAAACGGGCGTCTTGGCGGGTCCAGTGTCCCTTCCTCCTTTCACACACAGCTCGGCGGGAGCTGCTGTCCATCCTCTGTTTCGATTTCCCTTCTCGGATATTTTTCCATCCATTCCTATGAGTCAGTGCTTTGGGTGGAGATCAGCCGCCTTGCGCCCGCCGGTCCCGTGGGAGTGGAGAACGAGCACTGTTCGCGGGCTAATCCGGGATGGGGCGTAATACATCCATCCCAGATTAGCCCCGTGTACGATCGCGTCGGCAGGAGGTCTGATGATCCCGACAGAGGATCTTTCCTTCTTTTCCCCCCCATCGGTGCAGGGATTTCTGCACAGGCTCGCGGCGTCCCCGTTTTGTACTCGCCCCGACGCTCTGATTTAGGCGAAACTGAAAGGTCTAGTTGAAGTTCCTAGAATTTGCTTTGTGACCGTCATAGTTGGGTTCAGTTTGCATGGCCCAGGCCCTACGACCGTTCAAGACTCTACCCATCATACTAGCTTTCTCTTATCCAACTTCCTTGTGTCCAGCATGGTTATGGGTTTTATGGTCAGCCATAATGGGACTTGAACCCCAGCATCTCAAATTGATACCTCAGGGGATGACTTTGCTACCCCATGAGGATCAAGCAAACTGGGTGGTAGGGCTATACTTGTTTGATTCAAATGATTGATTATATATGGTAGGAGGCAGTGGCTTTTAAAAAAAAGCTTATGTGGAAGCTGGGTGTGAATTGGAAAGGAAGTTGGATAAGGAATATGATATTTCTGTAAATCCTTTAGAGCATACATATTATAGGTTAACATGTTTATTTATTAAAATATTTATTGCTTGCTTGGTATTTTATGATTTCAAGTATGGGTTTTTTTTTACCATTTGATTCATTTCCAAAGTTAGAATACAAAAGAAAACAAAGAAAAACAAACAAAAAGAAAATAAAGAAAGTAGAAAAAAAACAAATTAAGGATTTTTAGATGGTTTTCAAGTTACAGTATGAAATTATAAAACAGTAAAATAAATGAAGAATAGATTAAAACAGCAATAGTTACAGGATTCATCCCTTGTATGAAGACTCCCTGCTAACTGAACCTAGAGAATAAATCTAATTCCCAATGTCCCCCTTGCGCCCGTGAGACTGAAAAGCTCTTCACTTGGCATCAAGAAGCAAGCGTTGGCCCAGACTGGGCTCCCAAATTAAAAGAACACAATAGAGAAGTTGCTCTCCTGAATCTTCCCAGAACTTTTTTCTGAGGCAGTGAGCAGCAATCTTCCATGGGTATTAATGTTTGAGTAGGTACATGCTGGCAGAGATGCTCCCTTAAAGAACAATATTTTAAAGTTCATTGTAGATGTTTATCTTGTAAAGTGCTTAGGATCAATGTTTTATCATCTCTAGCCAACAGTGTCTGCATGGGGAAGAAGGTGCAAAAGGGATCTGAGAAATTAACATAGTATCTTGGGGTTGCAACACAAATCCCACTGCTTTCCTATGTATATTGTGACATCTCATGCACATCTCAAAGTTGGAGGACTTGAAGTACAATATGGTAATGTTGTTTCATTATTCTGATAAAATTTGTAGACACACCTGTTTCTATAGGTGAATTCCAAACGACCTTCAAGGGCATTTCCATTGCAATACTGTGATCTGACAGGCCAGAAATGGACTACTTACCGTATTTTTTGAAGTATAAGACACACCCTTTTCCCTCAAAAAAGAGGGTGAAAATCTGGGTGCATCTTATACACTGAATACAGCATTTTTGGCCTACTGAAACCCTGCCCCCTTTGCAAAAATGGACATGAAGACAGGCTTGCAAAGTGTTCCTGGGAGGGCAAATATGAGAAAAAATGTGCCGTTTTTACCACCACCCCCGCCCAGTCCCCAGGAGCACTCTACAAGCCTCTCAAAGCCTCTGCATACTCTTTTTTTTTCTTCAAAAAAATGAGATGTGCAGAAGGTTTGGGAGGCTTGCAGAGTGCAAAACTTTTTTTTAATTTACCTCTTCAAAATCATGGTGCATCATATACTTCAGTGCATCCTATAGTCCAAAAAATATGGTAGTTTAGCTCAGTGTTTTTCAACCTTTTTTGTGCAAAGGCACACTTTTTTCATGAAAAAAATCACGAGGCACACCACCATTAGAAAATGTTAAAAA